AATATTTTTTGTAAGTAACCGTTTGTTTCCTTACAAATAAAACCAAGCAATTTAGGTGCGGTTATAGGAAGTGGCTGAATAAATTAATCTATTTATTGTCACAAACGCTTTCCAAAAAAAAACCGCGAAAATACTAGAGACATATTTTACCAATACCCTTAGCACGAACCAATTTTGTTCTCGTTAAGTCCGTTGTGGCGTTGCTGTTCAAGTTTCCATAAAATTTGACAATGACAATTCGTACTCGCAAACTATTCGAATTTACTATTCAGATATTGGTTCGTGCTAAGGGTACACCGCGGGTCACGAAGTGAGTGATAGCGATAAAGATCCACTGATGCGGCTCATTCTAATATGAGCCTTACGCAGTGTGGCGTAAGGGAGAAAGTGCAACGACTTCTGCACTTGTTTACAACTGTACGCTTTACCTACGTATAAGTAGGTTCTACGCACTCGCGGGTGCTAGTACACTCTCTTTTAAACTAGACTTTTCTAGAATGCCTCGATTAACGTATATAAGCGCGTTTGGCGCCGCGCAGTGGACATTTGAGTTTCAACAGTGATTTCGGAACGAATACAAAGGCGATCAAAATGCAAGTAAAGTGTTCGTGTGCGATTGTTTAAAGACTTGTATAGTGTGAAGTAAGTGTAGTATTGTGTGTTTAAGAAAGAACTGTGTGGTGAATAAATAAGTGTCAAACGTGAACTGGCATATAATTTCGAACCCCATGCTGACACGTTACTTTATTATTATGAGAGTATTGTAAAATCTTGGTTCTGAACAGCAAGTCTGTATCTCCATGCTAAAATGTATCGAAAATAGCTGAGCTGTTTAAGTAGGTACCAGAATTTAGCTTACTGACCTAATATGGCTTCGAGAATATATTTATTAAAGAATCTTACATTTTCTTTATTTCCTTTCCTGCTAATAATTAAAATCCAAAACGATTTCTTAGTCCAATTATTATTTCAAAGGGAAAAGTTTTAATATTTAATTTTCTCCAATTAACTTTTCTACTGAACTGAACAAAAATACAATCCATCTCTTTAGATTTTAGTAAACAGAAGTTTCGAGAATTCCCTACGGAGCTGTCTCAAATAAATATTACAGCTACGAGGATAACTTTTTGTACAAGATTTACTTTATTCAGAATAAGGAAAATGTACTAACTTCTACAATAATATTAGATATTTGCTATGGTGTTTTTGATATTTGTTCAAATGTACTTTAATATTTGGAACTAACGATATTTTATTGTGGTTTTTTAATAGTTTTTTTAGATCTAAAGAAAATATAACTAGAAAAAATTCCACGCGGGCCAGGCAGCAGACGGAACTCGAACCCGCACCCTTCGCAATCCGGGTGTGGGTTACCCATAATGCGAAGAGATGGCGCTGCCTTGCAGCTTAAGAATGGCTAGAGGAATTTCGACGCGGTCCGTGAGGGCCGCGGTAGCATAATTGGTCAGTGCATTCGCCCGGATTGCGAAGGGTGCGGGTTCGAGTCCCGTCTGCTGCCTGGTCCGCGTGGAATTTTTCTATTTATATTTTCTTTAGATCTAAAAAAACTATTAAAAAACCACAATAAAATATCGTTAGTTCCAAATATTAAAATACATTTGAACAAATATCAAAAACACCATAGCAAATATCTAATATTATTGTAGAAGTTAGTACATTACACAAATGGATCCCTAAAATAGTCTTAGGAACCCTCAATTATTACTAAAAGAACTATTCAACGATATCCCACACGATAGAGTAAACGACGAGAAAAAAAAACAAGTTACATGTAGGGTAGCTACCCTAAAAAAAATTAAAAAGAAAAAAAAATACTACCATTTTGTCGGAGTGATTGATATACATATCTCCACAAAATTATAGCTCTCTAGTGCTAATAGCCTCCAAGCAAAACCGGGAACGGACAGACAGACGGACATGACGAAACTATAAGGGTTCCTTGTCAGGACTACGGAACCCTAGAAAAGTGTTTGCGTCTCGGGACGCACGACATTAGTGATAACTTAAACTATCCTTTTTTGAGCATAGGAGGTTGATGGGTGAAAAGGGGATTCAAGGATAAAAACGGACTCGACGGTGAAAAGGGGCATTGGAAGGTGAATGGCATAGGAGGGTGATAAGGGGATTGTTGGGTGATAATAAGGGATTGCTGGGTGATAGAGGGGATTGATGGGTCGCACGACAGAAGTAATAACTTAAACTATCCTTTTTGAACACAGGAGATTGGTAGGTGAAAAGGGGATTGGAGGATGTAAAGGGGATTGAAGGGTGTAAAGGGGATTGGAGGGTGTAAAGGGGATTGGAGGGTGTAAAGGGGATTCGAGGGTGAAAAGGGATTGGTGGGTGATAAAAAGGGATTTGTGGATGATACTGGGGATATAGGGTTTTTGTTGGGATCGAGTAAATGTTTTCTCGCGAATGTGTTGAAAAACGTTGTATAACATTCGTGCGGAATAGGTATTTACAGACTCGTGACTATGTTATGGCCTAGACTTCGTCTCGGGCTTACATTCTTTTACTCGTTCGTAATAACCAACTTACAGCACTAATGTCATAAATAAATATTTCCCTATCAGCAGGGCCGTCTTATTACCTATCGGACCTATCTACCTATTGGAGACCCTGGGCATATTAGGATAAAGGGGCCCCAATGACTTTGATGTGGATTATGACTTGAAATGGAGCGAGTCATACTGATGATTTTTCTTTAAAATGTGTATGTGCTTAGTATACCATTATATGTATACTTAAATTTATCTAAGCATGCTGAAGTCGGAAAGCCTAATTTTTGGGCGAGAGTAGAATAGCTTCGCTTATGTAAAAGCTAGTAAGTTGGTATTGTAGTCAGTAATTTAGGTTCGATTTCATCGAATTATGTAAGTTTTTTGGTAATAAATATATTGGTTATCGTTTGGTGATCTGACAGGAACTAGGGACTTTGTATTTGATCTGAAGGAGGCTCCAATCGATCCCGGGGCCCTGGGCACTTGCCCAAAGTGCCCACTGGGAAAGACGGGTCTGACAATCAGCTATTACACAGTTGAACTTCACTTACAGCTTCAGCCTTGTAATAAAAAAGCTAAAGGACATTGCTCGTTCCCCATACATTGAATGCCCTAGAACGCCCAGCAATGAGAAAATGCTAGTTGTGTTCGGAATCATTCATAAACTCTTATTAAGCATTTGTTGAGATACGGACAAGTTGAGGAACCGTGGACTACTACAGAATGTATTCGATTTTGAGGTTATAATTATTATATTTAATCGTAAAAGATGTACACTTTATATATTCTGAATAGATTTAGTGTTTACCTCTATGTAAGCACTTAAATAATATACATTAAATGAACATAAAATGTAATTAATAATAAAAATAATAAATGCTTATATTCATATTGATGTATGAGTGTTGTCAGTTGGCACCTATGATACCTATACCTACCTGTACTAGGTAATAATAGATTTCTTTTCAAATGAAATGTTCAGTCTTTCCATTTACCTGTTTCTATATTTTACTATCGGTAATTAGGTATGTACCTGGTTTAATAAACAGATATTACATGGGATGGGAGTATAAACTATCTTTACATAATTTCACAAATAATCTTTATATAAATATAATATAAATACTAGTAATAAGTATTATTAACTAAGGTATCTAGTTCTATTTTTATGTTGATAAATACCTATGGTCGCCTTTATTGCATTTATTAAGGTAAACAATCTTGGCACAACTTTTTAACAGAATCACCCATTTAATAATAAAATATTAACGAAGCCAATAAACTATTAAAATAAATCGTTATTATAGACTGAAACCTATTGAATCCAGTTTTCAGTTGATTTTTAATACTGTATTTTCAATAAAAAGGAGTGCCAAGTTGGATGAACAGACTGTAGTATCTAGTAACAGAACTTCTAATTTTTTATTTTTTTAAACAGATTGTCCGTTAACTATGATTGCTAATAAGTTAAAAAAATAATAGAAAAATAATAGTGAAGGACATTCTTTTGGGCATGATAGGGCCGATTTCGTCGATGTCCTTTATTACGAAAAGAAAACTTACAAGTAGCCTATTCTTTAAAATTTTCCCCATAAAGATTTGTGAAAAATTTACGGAATAGCACTGCAGATCTTATTATATTGTTACGTGTCGGGATGGGGTTCGAAATTATATGCCAGTTCACGCTTGACAGTTCTTTATTCACCACACAGTTCACACAATTAACTTACAAAACACTCACTAAACACTGTATTTCACTATACAAGTCTCTAAACAATCTCACTTGAACACTTTTGTTGCACTTAGATCGCCTTTGGATTCGCTCCGAAATCGCTGTTGAAACTCAACTGTCTCTGCGTGGCGCCAATCGCGCTTATATACGCCGATCGACGCATTCTAGAAAGTACCTGTTAAATTGAGAATTACCTAGCACCTGCGAGTACGAAATACCTACCTATACCTACGCAGGTAACACGCATAACTTGTAAACAAGTGCAGATGTCGTTGCACTTTCACCCTTACGCCGCACTGCATAAGGCTCATTTTAGAATGAGCCGCATTACTCGACCTCTATCGCGACCTGCGGTGATCTGGGAAATTCGATCTCTGGCACTTTCGCGGTTACGTTTCTTGACCATTTGTGACAATATTTTAAGCAATTAACTGTTAGGTGTTTAAATCTAAGGAAAAAAACAATACTAGAAATAATTCCACGCGGTCCAGGCAGCAGACGGCATTCAAACTGACCTGACCTTGACTGACCATTTACGCCACCGCGACCTTAATAGCCCCTCATCAGGTGGTCTGACGACATCAAGCAGGTCGGGGGGATTCACTGGATGCGTAAGATCGTTGTGTTTGGAAATCCCTAGAGGAGGCCTATGACCAGCAGTGGACTTCCGTCGGCTGATTGTGATGACGATGATATGATGACCTTAATGGCCGTGTTGAATTTCTCCTAGTATTTAGACTTACCAGATCTCTTTGAATTATGACCGTAGAGCTTGTTTAGGTCCAGGGTGAAGACGGCGGGGGGCAGGGCGCAGGAGACCGCTGCTAGGGCGGCCACGCACGCCGCCACTCGGCACGACGACATTCTGTAACAATTAATAAAGCTAAGCAACGTTCGGCGTGGTCGAGGTGGGATGGGTGACCGACCCAAATCCATTATAAAGGTGCGAAGATATTCTATTCAGAAGGTTTATTCTGCCAATTTAAACTTAAAAATAGGAACAAATATCAACGATATTAAACAACGTTCGGCGTGGTCGAGGCGGGATGGGTGACCGACCATACCCATTATAAAGGTGCGCAGATATACTATTTAGAAGGTTAGCTCTGACAATTCAAACTTAAAAACTGTAGCGAAATTATGTATCTATGGCGCTTCCTGTTAATTGTATTTTTGTTTAGTAAAATTCTTCTACTAAAGAAAGACAAATGATAACAAGTCTATACAGCATTGCTTTCAGTTCTTTTCTGTCTTTCTTATTTCCTTACAATATTTCATTTAAAAAAATTCACTCGAAATCACGCTAAAAGATACCACTGCTTTGTATTGTCTGTTTTCTCACACTGCCATCATGGAACAACTTCCTTTTCGCTTAAACGCGAACAAGAAAGTTATAATTTATAGCATAACAAAATACTGTCTTCGCGTCTCTCTAAGTTGTTGCCGGGAAAAATTCCGGGCGTAGGTATTTCCGCATGTAACGGAGCACTTTTGGAGAGAAGTTTTCTTCGTCTTACGTGTGTGTGTGACATAGATTAACGTATATAGTATACAGACACTGATTCATACCGTGTTTCGAACTTTCGAGCAGGTGAGGTCGGCAAAACATAGAGCCACAGTACGACACTTATAACTTTGGCTTACTTTTCATTCATGGCTCTTTTCGTTCGTTTTCGCCAGTTCTTTCGGTTTCTGACAATAACCATATTAAGAGAAGAGGCGCGCAATGTTTTTTCCATACAAGCATTCTCGACTGATTCCTCTTTGATTTTTATCACTAAACTTCGCCGCACAAGGGCCATACGCCACAACCACAAACGCCGCCACGTCAAGCTAGAAGCGGCTACTAAAGTGGCTGAAGCGCGCGACAGCGGCCGACTAAGGTAAGGGAGAGAGGGGTGGGGAATCGCGCGAGTGACAGGTGGCGGCGTTTTGTATCGGCGCATCAAGTGGCCGGTGCGGGCCACAAGAAGCGAGCAACGACGATTTGTAGCGTGTGGCGGCCACCGGCGTAACGTGTGTGGCGTGTCCATATAAAATTTATGAAAACTATAAGAAATATGCCGGTGGCGGCGTTTTGTGGTTGTGGCCGGTGGCCCGTGTGCGGCGACACTAAAGAAATGATTTTCTTACATCAAATATAATTTTACTCATTCTACGCTCCTATGTCTTCCTTTTTTCGATAACTTGTGTTTCAAAGAAACTAGAAGCCCTCGAAAAGGCCAAAAATATAACCAAATTTTTATCACCACCAAAGACCTCTAGTGTGGAGATTTAATAAGCATTTACAAAAAAATCAAAACATAAGGGCATAGTATAACTACTTATTACTCTTTGTGTAAAATTTCTTTTACATACGAGTATATCTAATTTTCGCGTAGGACTTTTTGGCGGGATCAGGAAGCGTCACTTTAGCAGTTTTGTATTACTTGTTAAAAATTGTGTTGTGGCGGATGTAAATGTCTAATAATGGTGGATTATTAACCACTAAGTGTTCGGGAAAATGCACTAGTGTTGGCGAGTAAAACAAAATAGCGGAAAGTGTCAAGAAGTCCACGGGGAGGTTCCAGTAAATCCCCACACATTTACTGAAACATAGGGAAAGGGGGATTGACTTGACTGCCAATTACTTTCGCTTGATTTATTACTTTGACCACGAGTGCTATAGAATTTGTAAACATTTTAACACTTGACATTGGCTAAATGCACAAGCCGTGCGAAGCCATTCAGAAAAAAAAACAAAAAATTCGCGTAGGAAATCGTCGAGAGCCAAACCTCGAATTTAGCAATTTTTTACGCAATTTTCAGCGTTAACTACTGTTGTCCCTTTCACACTGTATTTGCCAATGCGTGATAGCAATAGTTTTTTCAAATACCTATTTCTCAAATGTCGCTCAGCTCGCGTCCACTCTTAAGCGCGTTGGTAAAACGAAAAAGCCCATACCTGATAAATTTTCTATTGCATATAAGAAACATTCATTACAATGTCAAATATAATATTTTTCACATAAACAGGTAATTAACCTGTTTACTTTGATCTCGGCTCTAGGGTCACAGAGGGCGTCTTAATTTATCAACAATGGGGTGAGGAGCCGTCGAGTTTTCGTGCTTAGGATGCGAAGGAAAATGTCACTGAATCTGGCCTTTTGTCTAATTTATACTTGCTGAAAGTCAGCTGAAGGATATAAAATTTTAACCATAGTCTGAGCCCATCAGCAAATAATGTAAGGAAATCGGATTTTTTTTAAATTCACTTGTTTATCAAAAAAATGTCTTTTTGTTGTATAATTTAGAGTCTAATCTGCAGTAATTGACTGTACATAGGTAGCATAATCAGTAATCTCTTAATTGGTAACTTGTATGCTTGTATGCATGATTGGATGAAATATAAACTGTCTCTTTAATAATAAAAGCATTTAATTTTTTAATTAAAAAGTTAAAGAGAGTTTAAAGGACCCCGTAGAGTTTTATAGAAAGCAGTTTGCTTGAACTGCCACGTTATCACGTGCAATAAAAATTGACATATTTTAGTCTTACATTGTATTCCTCAGTGATAATGTTATAATTATATGGTTCATTGATTGTAATAAAATATAAAATAAAATTATACAAATAACATTCTTAGAGTCTGTGCGGAAAGAGAATGGGCGTGGCGAAAAACGGAACTAACATTAAGATTTTTATTTGGCAATCAAACCCAGCAATCTGTAAAACGTCAAAGTTTTGTATTGATACGGATTTGTTTGTTGTTGTGATTTCTTGCGGTTTTTGTATTTAATCATGTGTAAAAGGGGTAAAACCTTACAAATACGGTAGAAAAAGCACTACAGCGCCCTCCAATCTAAATCCCATTCTCTTTCCGCACAGACTCTATAAGTATTATTAATGGTAGTTTCACTTTAAATGACACCATCTACTTCCCACTCTCTATGTAACAGTCCAGTTAACATACGGTTACCTGGAAGAAATTGCTTCCTAGCGATAAGGCCGCCATTTGTACTATTATAATTATAAAAGATTCTATGAGTCTTTTGAAGACGGAGGGTGATTTCGTCCTCAAAGATGTGATGGTTCATAAGGATACAGTAGGGTATATTCTAAGCTGAATTTAGTTTAAATTTGTGGCAAGGAACCCCTTAAGATTTCCAACTTAAGAGCTTAATTAACCAGTATTGGCTTTCTAAGTTTAGGTCAGAGTTGCAGCGCTTGTTGATTACTATGTTCGAGCTAACTTAAGTTAACAAAGCCGATGGTTAAACTTGAGGTAATCTCGTTTACAACTTACCTAGCAAAGTATGCTATTTAAAAGTAAGGTAAGGTCCTCACGACTTGCTGATAAAGTACCTAAAAGTCTTTTGTGCCAGATAAACTACTAATATTGTTTCACGGTTTGAAATAGAAGACAGAGATGGGTGTTTTTAGAATTGTGAAATTGATGTGCATCGGTATCAGACAAATCGCATCTGATGCGCGCATCGATGCCAAGTGAATGTCAGTATCGTAGTATCACAAGATACGATGCGATATGAATTACGACAGATGCTTTTTTTGTGGCACTGTTGCTATAGTAACGTTGACAAAAACTAGATGGCATCGGCATCCAATAACGGCATCCAGTCGCATCTGATTCGCACATCCACCAATAAAAAGATACACGTGGACGTGGATTTTTTTCTAGTAAAATATTTTTTAGATTTGAACATCTAGCAGTTAAATGCTTAAAAATTATTAATAACATGATGATTTGTAAATGTTGCTACATTATTGTTTTTAATGTTGTGGAGTTTTTTATGCTCGTGTTTTCTCGGCAGCTAAAAATATGTCTAAGAACGAGTGGTAGGGGAAATATTTTTGGAAGATTTTTTTTAAAGAGTTGTTCTATGCATCCAATCTGAACAAAGATATTTTGACTTTTTACTAGGAAAAAAACCACTTGGTCCACGCATCAGACAAGATTCGAATCTGCAGCTTCCGCTATTCAGGCGGATCTTCTCTAGTAAAATTTTCTATTCATAAATCTAGCATAAAAATGGTTATAAACTATAGAGCAACACTAAAGACGAGGCGAGGACGGGAGTAGCCATACACAGCTTTCCACTCTGTCGAGTTAGGCCTACATATTGAGCATAAAAACCATACATGCTGCAGGATTTGGCGGTGTATTGTATCAATGTTTATGTGGTGTGTGTCGTTATTACAGTTTTGATTTATATGCGTGTATGGTAAACTGCGTTTGGAATATACACACAAACGCAGTTTAACATACAAAAAATGACAGAATGATTTGAATAGTATTATGTCGCTATGTTACAAACAAATGATATAGGCGCCTAACAATAATGTTCAAATATACTTAGAACATGTCTTCACGATAATAGGGGTGATGACGGGGTACAGTAAACGAAATTCTATTTAAACCCGTCAGTTAGATGATCAACAAATAATGGACACGTAAGTATTTTTTCTTTGAGCAATCAACTAAAAAATGACAAAGTTATAGCGCCTCAAAGTTTGGGAGTAGGGGCTCGTGACGACACTTTTGAGTGAATTTTCACTTATAAGTGTACTCAAACGTGACGTCATGCGACTTTTCAAATCAATATATCTCTGCTATGTTTATATTATGTGAAAAAAGAAAAAATACGTGTCCAATACTTTTTGATAATCTACCTGATAAACGAAGAAAAAATAAAAGACATCGTCCCTATTATTTATTATTATACATTCGTAAATGTAAAAAAAACCATTGGACCGCTATCATGCCTATGTGTTTGCATTTCTCTTTTAAATGTACACCGGAATGAACAACGTCCAGAATTTGTAATCCGTGAAGACCCTTAATCCAAATTTCAAGTCACGCCACAA